GAGGGACAGCAACCCAGCCCCCGGCTCAAAAAGGTTTCCTACCCCTGCCCTACATGGTTTTGGTCCAGACTAGATAGGCAAGGGTTTCCCAGAGGATCTTTTTGTCGGCTGCCCCGAGACTGTGGAATGACCTTTCAGAAGAGATCCTACATCTGAAATGCTGACTGCATTTAAAACAGCAATAAAAACATATCTCTTCTGACAGGCATACCAAGTCAATTTTAAATCATGAATTTTAATTTGTATATGAGCTTATATGAATGTATGTTAATGGATTTATAATATTGTATTTTAACTGTTGGTTTATGTGTTTTTAGTTATGTTTTGTATTTTAACATGCTGTACCCTGCCTCAAGACTTGAGAAGAGGCAGGAAAGAAATTAGTAGTAGTAGTAGTAGTAGTCACAGTAGTTGTAGTGGTACAAATCCTGTGAGAAGGAAGCACCATTATGCAGGATTAGCTACAGATAACTGATGAGATGTTTCAATCATTTCAGCTGGGAAGTATCCACAACAACAATGTTGTAGCAGCTGTCTTTAGGCCCCAATATGATGGTGGTGGGGAATAGGATATTAAATAAAAAAGCAACTAAGCAAGAAGTGAAGTTCTTCCATTTTCTTCTATACATTTACCCTATGGTAGATTACTCCTAGTTACCACGGTGGCCTTTATGATCTTTCTTCCACGACTCCTGTCACTGGCCTGAGAAATGCCTACATTCAGTTCTTAAGCTGTCACTCTCTTTTGAGGAATCTGAATATTTTCTACTATATTATAAGGGTCCACTTAATTCCAAGGTGGGGAAAATGTGGACCACCTGCTGCATGCAGCTCCCAGTCCTCACTTTTGTGTCCCCCTAGCCTCCCCTGAGAGCCAGTGTGATATAGTGATTTGAGCACTGGACTAAGACTCTGAAGATTGCCAAGAAAACTTGTTGCCTGCCTTCAAATCAGTTCTGATTTATGGTGACCCTAAGTTTCTTGGGGGGGCGGAGTTGGGGAGTTAAGCATTACTTTAGTATAAACATCCTTTTGTGGGTCTCCTGTCATGGCCCTAAACTGGAAAAGCCCAACCGCCATGGATCCAAGACGAGGACATCACGTAGGCACCTGAGAGGTAATATCTGCCTTTACAACAAATTAGCAGATCAAAAGGTCAGAGTTAAGAGCTGGAAAGCAGGACATTCACACCTAGGAGTTTTATGAGTAACAGCTAGGATGTGTCCGGCTGAGGATGAGATAACATCAACACCCTATCTCCTGTCTTTGGAAATTGTCTGCTTCAAATAGTATCAATCTGGAATCCTTTGATATACAATAGCAAATTTTCACCTCAGGCTAGGTTTAAGGATATAAAAGATCCCCAAAATCTCAGGCACATTGGGTCTGGTTAGATTTCATGGTGACACTGCGCCACTGTGAACTATGACTTAGGTCCTGGCTCTTCCTGTTGTCTTTTCCCTTTCATAAACAATTGAGTCTATCCATTTTCCTTCATCGTTGAAGCAACCTCCGTCAGGTAATTATCACCATTAGAAAGCCTTCTGTTTCCTATCCAAGCTACCTATTTTATTCCTGAGTTCTTGTGTGCTTGAGTGAATGTTAGATTGTCTTTGTATGTTTGAATCTCCAAATTAATCACAGGCTCATTGAAAAGCTTTGTCTCTATCAGTCTACTCCCTCACCACCTCTGTAAACATAGGATAAAAGATCCCATTGGAGACTTGAACTTTTAACAATTCCCCAAGTTCAAGCTCTTCTTACAGGGGTTTTTCCATTGCCATCCTCTGAGGCTGAGAAAGTGTGACTTGCCCAAGGTCACCCAGCCAGGTCATGGGTGAGCAGGGAATCAAATCCTGGTCTCTAGAGTCATAGTCCAACAATCAAACCACTACACCACACTGGCTCTCAAGGGTTGCATTAAGTCAGAAACAACTTAGAATCACAGAATCACAGAGCTGGAAGAGACCTCAAGGGCCATCCAGTCCAACCCCCACCATGCAGTAACACACAATCAAAGCATACCTGACAGATGGCCATCCAGCCTCTGTTTAAAAGCCTTCAAAGAAGGAGACTCCACCACTCTCTGAGGGAGTGTGTCCACTGCCCATAATTATATTACTGATTGAGTGGGCAAATAACAGACCAACTAGTCACAACTATCTCCCCTATATTTAGATATTTAAATTTCAGTGATGATTTCCATACTTGCATTTATACATAAGCATTAGCACTTGCCAGTTTAGGCAGATTGCTGTTTTCTTTTGCTTTCTTTTTTTGGCAATCTGTTAAGTGGTGACCCTGCCTAAGTTTTGATCACAGCCTTGTAACATATCAGTTCATCTGCTACATCCAGTCATTGGTCTAACACAGGGGTAGGTAACCTTTTTGAGCCAGGGGCCAGGTTGCTGCCCTCAGACAATTGGGGGGCCGAAGCACCAAAAATAAATAAATAAATAAATTAAAATAAAAATAAAAAAAATAAAAAAAATTAAAAGATATATGCATGCACACTTTCTCAGCCTCAGAAAAGCCATGGCAAAACCCCTGTGGAGATTTTGCCAAGAAAACCCCAAGAACAAGTAATAACAACAGTAATCAATATCATCATGGCGGGGGGGCGGCAGCGACGGCGGTGGCAGGATCAGCCTGGAGCCAGTCCAAAGGCCTCGGGTGGCCACATCCGGCCCCCGGGCCTTAGGTTGCCTACCCCTGGTCTAACATGTACACCATGCAAGGATAGTTGTACAGCTCTGGCAAAGGGGAAACATGAAAGTGAAAGGGAGATTTCCTTTGTGCCATAGTGCAGGATTTGATCTTGATCCCTAGGTTCCTCTGATCCAGATAACAGCCATACCATGCCATCTGATGTCCACCATACATGATAGGTCTGCATGGTATATCTTAGAAACATAGAGTTGGAGGAAACCACAAGGGCCATCCAGTTCAACCCCTGCCATGCAGGAAGACACAATCCAAGCACCCCCGCCAGATGGCTTCTGTTTTAAAACCTTTGGAGCTTCTGTTTTAAAACCTCCAATGAAGGAGATTCCACCACACTCTGAGGAAGTATGTTCCACTGTCAAACAGCTCTTACTGTCAAGAAGGTCTTCCTAATGTTTAAGTGGAATCTCTTTTCCTGTAGTTTGAATCTATTACTCTGTGTCTTAGCTTATGGAGCAGCAGAAAACAAGCTTGCACCATTCTCAATATGACATCCGATCAAATATTTAAACAGGGCTATCACGTCACCTCTTAACCTTCTCTTTCCCTGGCTAAGCATACCCAACTTTTGAAGCCACTCCTGATAGGGCATGGTTTCCAGATCTTTCACCCTTTTGGTCACCCTCCTCTGGACACACTCCAGCTAGTCAATATCTCTCTTGAATTGTGGTGCCAGAACTGCAGACAGTATTCTTGGTGAGGTCTGACCAAAGCAGAAATGGCACCATTACTTACCTTGATTTAGACTTTACACTCCTATTGATGCAGCCTAAGCCTACTTCCCAGATTTCAGTGGCTGGAATGCAAGTCACTGCATGCAGCGTGGCTATTACCATGAAACAAAGTAAGGTTATGAATTCAGATAGATGAATCTAGTGGCGGGTATCATTTTCCTAGCTCCAAGCACCACCATCTCTGTATAATTTAGGGTATCATTTCTACTTTAATTAATGGAGTAAGTTTATTCTCAGCTTGAAAATATCTCTTTTTTGGACAATTACACAATGTCCCAGGTAATTGTCCATGGTGGCTGTGGATTCAGGCAGATGTAATTCAAATGTAACTATGCTAGATCAGCCCTGTTACACATGCCAGTTTGATTAATATTGCCCCCATCCATTCATGACAGTCTTAGAACTGGGGAGTGGGTCTTGAGGACTTTTACTTCAACAAGAATTCAGTCCTACACTTACCAGATTAATGTGTAAGTTAGAACTTTTAGTTATCCACTGAATTTAGTATTTCCTTAAAGTACTAATGCAGTGTTTGGCTCAAAAATGAATCAAATACTTTCTAAATACTGGTTGAAAAAACTATTAGAAAGATGTGTTCTGAGAGAAAATGCAGACTGAAATATGGATTTATATAGAATTTCATGCAATTCTTTTTTTAAAAAAAAAATCACAGAAACATGCAGAAATGAGGTAGAAAATATTTGGGAATAAACAGTTGTGATGGTGACATACATGGACCAGACATGTCCATCACTATTTGAGAGCTGGGGCCATACCAGTTTATCTTGGAAGCTAGAAAGCAAGCATCACCAACTTGTGGCCCTCCAGATGTTGCTAGACAATACCTCCTCTCAGCAATAGCCACTGGTGAAGGTTCTTGGAAGGTGCAGTCAAGCAATAAATGAAAGGCCTCATGGAATCATAGAATCAATCAGTTGCAAATGACCACAAGGACCATCAGGTCCAACCTGCTGCCATGCAGGAATAACCTGTGTTTCTAACCTATGTTTAAAGACCTCTAAGGAATAGTCCACCATCTTCCAAGCAGTCTACTCCACTGCTGAATAGCTCTTACCATTAGGAAGTTTTTATTGTATTAGTTGGGATTTTAGTTTCCCCTACTAAATTGGCTATTGTGCATTCCTCCTGTAAAGGGATGAACTTTTTAATGAAGTGTCAGTCTGCCATGATCTCTTTCCTCACAATCTCCTGTGTCATGTCCTGCCTTACTGGGCAACCACTTCAGCTTTTTGTTCTCAGCAGCTTGGAAGTTCACAACAGAGAATAACAGAACAGACCACAAGAACATTCCACATTTGTTCTAGAGAAGTTCTCACTCCAGCGGTTTGGCACAAGAAGAGGTTAAGTGTGTCCTGGGGCCACTTGCATTGCACATCATTGATGTGTACCATGCTTAGGCTGTGGGCATTGCAAAGCTTATAATTAATATATCTAGTATTCACTTCAAAGGCAGTATGTCCAAATCTTCCAATGGGTGTGTATGTTTGCTGGAGAAGACTTCATGCCACAATCCTCTTTCTCCCAGGAGGTTCACAGAGAAAATTTGGCATGCATGTAGGTCAGGGCAAAATAAACAAATGTGTTTGCAGTATGTATGCTACATCTAATCCTTGGAGATATGGATTCATTTTGAGACAATGGGGGAATGTGAATTTGGTGGAAATAGTTTTGAACTGACTTAATCCACATTTTTCAATCAGCTGTTCAGAATAGGAATAAAGTTGTGATTTGCCATTTTCTGTACTTCCTAGATGTTCTGCTCTACTTCTCTACTCAAAAAAGTAGCAAAAATGTGAATTTATTATGCACATGGCCACTTTCACAACAATAGTATTGGGTAACTTGACATATAAGAGACGGTCAAATTCCCAGTCTTAGCTGGTCTTTAGGCAATGGTTGAAATCGTGCTCATGTTACTTATGTGTATGTCTTGCATTGCATGGAATGCAAAGTGATATTCACCTTCTGCACCACCCAAAATCTCCCCACAAGGCAGACCTGGAAGGGGGGGGACTGCTTCAAATATTTAGTGGCAAGGGGAGAGCAGCAATAAAGTGACTAGGCAGCAGGATTACATTCTATCAGTAGTTCTCCATAAAGAGAAACCCTTTGCCTGCCTCCAACTGGAGAACTGTAGCTGGGGTGGACTCAGTCTTGCTGCTTGGTCACTTTCCTACCTATGGGACTTGGAAGAGGGAGATCATAGAGCTGCACTTGTGGGCCATTATGTTCTTCATGCCATAGGCATGATCCCAGTCATTATAGTTTAATTCCTGAGTGTTTGGCTGCCTGTGACAATGCACAAAATGCCACCCCTCTCCATTCCATGCACAAAGGCAGACAGCTGGACTGACATTGGAACCTTACTTCAACCCAGGCAAAAGACAATAGCCTCCAGCACTCCTGAAGGTAGCTGAGTATGTTAGGAGGCAGGTGGTACATTGCATGACACACATAGCCAGCCTTATATATGGCTGACAGAGGGGTTCCTGGCTTCCTGTGCAGAAAATACTTATTCGTGGACTATTCTGCGCAAAATTTGAACATGATTGATTTGCACAGAAAACAGCATTTTCTATGCATGAAATAGCTCTGTTAACAAACCAAGTAATATTTCTCTCTGTGTGGAGGTATGTGCAGAAAATGCTTTTTCATACACAGAAAAATTTTGTTTTCTGCTCAAAACAACATGTGAATTTTTCTAAAGAATAAGTTCTGAATTTCAAAATGGGTTTCAAATTTGCATAGTTTTGGAAGACTTTTTTTGTGGCAGAAAGAAATGGCTATAATTACTCTTTTCTTCTTTCAGGAAAAAAAGTGAAGAATTATATCCTTTCATTTGGTTGCTGCTGCTGTTGCTGCTGCTGCTGCTGCTGCTGTTACTTTATAATTTGTTTTCAGTGACAAAATATAGTCCCTGAAAATGCGTGTCTATGTTAATGAATTAAATTTTCTCATATTTTTGTACAAACCAGAGCAGTCAGGCTCCTGTTGTTGAATTATGCTAGCAATCCAGGTAGTGGCAATAGGATGAAAATGGTTGTAGACACAGCAGCAGGGAAGGAAGGAGGGCATCTGAGCAATGGGCTTCTCGGTACTAATAGATTTCTTTCCCATCCCTGGCCACAGCTGGAAAAAATGCATGAAAAATGCTAGCATAGTGCATGGACAAGATCTCAGCCAAGAAGACCTCTTACTGCTCTCTGAGTAGGTGCCAAGTTTGCTCTCAGTCATGTTAGAGTATCCCAGAGGATCCCTTTATAGTCATTGTGTTTATGTTAAATGGGACACAATTCTAGCATGCAGAAGCAGGCTGCTACCTAGGGGCCATTTCCACTATGATTTGAGGTGAATTGCTGAATGCTGTATTTATGTCTCATTCCCATTGGAAGGAATTTCAAATATGACCCCGATAATTCAGAATTGC